CCATTTTTTTGGTTGCAGCCGTCAATGTTGTTTGGCGGGTCCAGGCTGGGGATTCGAACCCGCCACCTTAGGTGTATGTGGCTGGCCCCTTAGCCACTTGAGCCACAGGCGCTGAGCCCCATCTTCCTTTCTTGGAGTTTAATTTGTCATTTATTTAACTTTCTTGAGGTGAGTGTTTACATCACTGATTTTTAGCCTTTCTTCTCTTCTTCCATATGCATTTAAGGCCTTAAATTTCTTTCTAAGGACTGCTTCAGATGCATTGGATATGTTGTAATGTCACATTTTTATTATAATTTAACTCAAAATGTTTTATAATTTCCATTATCAGTTTTATTGACTCTCTAGTCATTTAGAAACATTGCTTAATTTTCCAATATTTGGTGATTTCTATTTTATTTTTATTATTGATTTCTAGTTTAATTCTGCTATAGTTATAGAACATAGTCTATGATTTCAGCCAGTTGAAATTTGTTGTGTACTCTACATTTATGGCATGCAATATTCTTTTCTTCTTTTCATTTGCATTGAACTGAGAGACCTGGGGAGGCCAACACCAGTGATCACTCCTCTGCGTGGAGAAACAGAGTGTGGCCCCCTCCAATATTCCTCACTGCCTTGTATTGAAACCTCAGGCATGAGAAAATACAGCACAGTGGAAAGCTTCAAAGAGAGAGTCAAGGTTGAAAAACAAGGCTAGTTAGCATAGCCTTCACCACATTTTCTTAGTTATTGTGTTAAGACTATGTTAACCAGTTTGATGAAAGTATTTCAAATTGTATATAAAACCAGCACATTGTACCCCATAATTGTATTAATGTATACAGCTATAATTTAATAAAAAAACAAGTAGTTTTTCTTTAACTGCATGGTTGAACTAACTTATCTTGCTTACTGCACTTTTATCTTGCCTTAATTTTATCACTGCTAATATGTGACTTAGGGATGGGACAGTTTGCTGTGTCTAGTGAGTATTGTTTTTAATAATCAGGGCCTGCGGTGATGCTTGGCTTTTTCCCAGATCAACCTGTCCCTAGTGCCTAGCACTTTTGACCCTATGCTCTATATTACAGTTTGTTATTCATTTATAGGTGTGCTATATATATTCTGGATACAAATCTTTTGTCCCCCAAATTATTTCTTACCTTCATCCCTCCCTACTTTACCTACTTTATTATTTTTATTTTATTATTCTTTTATTGTTTGGGATTCATTGAGGGTACAAAGAATTAGGTTACACTGATTGCATTTGTTAGATAAAGTCCCTCTTATAACTGTGTCCCACCCCCAAGAGGTGTGCTATACACTGTGATCCCAAACCTCCCTCAGTGTATTAGCTCATCTAATGCCTTCATATTAGAATACAGTACTTTGGATTCTTGCTTCTCCATTCTTGTGATGCTTTACTAAGAAGAATGTGTTCCACCTCTATCCAGGTTAATACAAGAGATGTAAAGTCTCCATCTTTTGTAGTGGCTGAATAATATTTCATGGTATACATATACCCCAGCTTGTTAATCCCTTTAGGCTGTTTCCACATTTTGGTGACTGTAAATTGATGGCATGAAATATTCCAAAAATGTTGGGACATGTTTGTTAGTTTTGATATCCATTCTTCTATATCTACATTTTTTTTTTTTGAGACACAGTCTCACTTTGTTGCCCTTGGTAGGGTGCTGTGGCTTTACAGCTCATAGCAACCTCAAACTCTTGGGTTTAAGTGATTCTCTAGCCTCAACTTTCCAAGTAGCTAGGCCTACAGGTGCCCTCTGCAATGCCTGGCTATTTTTAGAGATGAGATCTCACTCTGGCTTAGGCTGGTCTTGCTTGGGCAGTCCACCTGCTTTGGCCTCCCAGAGTGCTAAGATTACAGGTGTGAACCACTGTGCCCAGTCTTACAGCCACACTTTTTTTTTTTTTTTGGCTTATTTTATCAGAAGAAGATATGCTAAAATCCACAACCAGGTTTGTAGATTTATCTATTGATATTTAGAGTTCTGTCAGTTTTCACTTTATGTATTTGGGAACTATTTTTTTTTTCACACGGAAATTGCTTTAATGACCTTTTATACCTCCTGCCAGTAAAACATATTAGAAAACTGAAAAGAATTTTGCAGTGATAAAAGATACAATCTCACAATACTGAATTAGGTAGATATTGGAAATGGCAAAGTAGATTCTCTGTCCCTATGGTCTGCAAATTTAATGTGTGCCTTTAAACAAACAAAAAAATTCATTAACTTGAGAAACAAGTTTATGGCCATAATCAATGCTCTGTTATGTCACGTGTTACTTTTTATTACATTATCTGTGTTTAAAATTCTGCACTTCTAGCTTTAGGATAAGTTCTAAAATAAGACAATTTCTTTTCATTGCCCTTGACAATTACTTTTAAACAGGAAGCATAAGAAAACACAATCAGAGGAGGTGGGACACCGTTGGTGTGGCTGTATCATTCAAAACCAGTAGTGGGGCATGTTGAGACCTGGAATAGCTTTTCTAGAGGGAGCATAAAGCTAGCCTTCCAAACTGATCCAGAACATACTCAAAGGCAGGAGGTAGGGTAGTGTGTAGGTAGTAAAATAATCAGGCTAAAGGTATTTACAGATAACAAAAACAAGGCCACAGGTTTTTTTCTGGCATATTTTCAGCTTTAACTATGTGGGATCTTGTCTGGCTCCTTTAGGATTCTGCGGTTCTTCAGATAGTGAATTCTTCCTTGCTGAGATGTTCCGGAGAGAATGCAGGCTCTGGATCTGCTGCAGGTGCAGGGCGAGCTCCTGCTTTCAGGCCTGCTGGATGTTTTCTGTCTTCTTCATGTCCCAGTTCAAAGCAAGAGCCAGTGCTCTGGGGTCTTCTTTGGTAACCAACTCCAAATCCTGACTAGATAAACTCAGCTCTGGAGCAGGCTTCTCTTTCAGTGCAGTGAGGAACTGGCCCGTCAGTGCAATTTCAGAGGAGAGCTCTCTGCTGACACTCGTGTCAACTGCATCTCCCTCTTCATTGAAACCAGCTCTGGACTCTTCCTGCTTTGACAAAGTGCTGCCCTCCTTCCCCAAAGCCTGTAGATAAAGCTCCAGGAATTGCTTGGACTGGCGGGCCTCCTCTCTCTGGTCAAGCACCCGCTGGAGTGTGTTCTGGAGCCCCTGGATGGTGGCACAACTTTGGCATAGTTCCTGAGCCAGGTCTGAACAGGGAACATCGATGAGCACTTGGAGGTCCTCCTCTGACAGGAGGATGATGTTGGCTAGATCTTCTTTCAGCTGCCTGACCACATTCTTCCACTTCAACCCTGCCCTGCTGTCTGTTTCATCTACATCAAAGGACTCTTGGGAAATCCATGCTGTACCTCCATCTGAATTGCTGTATACCCACTTCTCATTACTGGCCAATGCCACAAACTTAGTGTTAGAAGGTAGACACAGGAAGTTATCATCATCATCCACTATGGTGCCATCCTCTGCCAGGACCAGGGTAACTGGTGTCAGAGACTTATCAATGGCCAGAATGTCACAGGCCTTGCTCCTCAGCTCCTCCAGATAGGAGATGGCCACACCGTGCTGTTCGAGGCTGTAGTTGCTGTGCAGCAGACACTGCTTTAGATTCCGGATCTCGCCGGGTTCTGGAGCCCCGACACCCTCAGTCACCTCCATCCTTTCCAAGGTGGGAGCCCAAGTGACTCCGGGAAGTTGTGGGGAAGCGCCGGAACTATTTTATACGTGCAAACCAATTAAGGTTTGTAAAAAGTTGTTGATGGGGCAGCACCTGTGGCTCGAGGAGTAGGGCGCCGGCCCCATATACTGGTGGTGGCAGGTTCAAG